GGAGGGATGGCATCTCATTGAGTCAGAGGAGCAGAGCTAGCTGTGCCATGCTCAGAGCCTCAGGGAACAGTCAGTCCCTGAGTATGGGGGGAGCACAGCTGCCCACAAAGGTACAGAGACACCTCCTCTGCCCCCACAGCCCAGCCAGCAGAGGAAGAGATGCATCCCATGAGCCTGGCAGGGTGAGGGGAGAAGAGGGGGACGGGGCTCACCTGTGAGACACCTGGGAGCCTCTCAGGCTGGACATGGTTTCCTCCAGGTTCTGCCGAAGGTCCAGCACATTCTGCACCGTTCTCTTCCTCTGGGACTCAGGGTCTGTGGAGAGGCGGAAGGACAGGTTTGAGAGACACAACCAGAGGAAGGAGCAGCACAGACCCCTGCTCCCACCTGCCCACATCGTGTAGTCAAATGCCAACTCCCTGTGCTAGCTGCCCACGACACAGCTCCTTGTTGTGCAACATGTCCAGTCCTCCACCTTGTGCCAACCTTGTGCTTACATGCCCCCTTCCCCATGCCCAGATGTGCCTTCCCCATGTAGCTCCTTCTGCGCACTATTCATCTGGACAGCCCTCTGCTGTTTTGCACTCACTCCGGAAGGACTGGCTCCTTGCTGTGGCTCCTAGGGAAGCAGAGGCCCTTGCCATAACCTGTGCCAGCCCTTGCAGACAGGATGCAAACACAGCCATCCTGTCTTGTGCTGGCCTGTGCTGAATGGAGTTGGTGTGTAGCTCCTTGGGCATCTGGACACACCCTGCCCTGGGCGGGTTGTTGCTAAGGTCCCTAAGGTGGTATGGGTAGGAAAAGCCCAAGGCCAAAACTGGTGAGGCTTGTCTGCCTTCTCACTTCTACCTGGGGATGGGGAGAGCAGAGGGGCAACCCTGGCCTGGGAGCTCTCTAGGCCTAGCAGCCTATCAGGCCTTGCTAAATGCAAGCTGCTAGTCCCAGGCTGGTGAACACTGCACTGGCTCCTACCTCGTTGCCTGCAATAACAATGCGTCGCGTCACTGAACAGACAGCCACCAGCCAGGCTGCAAAGGTCCCTCTTTATGATCACACAGAGCATCCCATCCCAAAGCCGCTGGACACAGACAGACCCTGGTCTGCTGGCAGGGGAGGCTGTGCAGTCTCATGCTGCCCCCAAGGGCCCCACTGAGTCCTGCGGAAGTGCCCACCATCCTCAGTGCACATGTGGGCCAGATTCTGTGTCACGACAGGCCAGGTTGCCCCAGGGTCAGAGCCCAGGTACCCCTTCTGTTCCAAGCAGCTCAGTGCCAGGTTCCCACTGTCACCTGTAGGCTCCCGACCAGGGACACTCAGTATCAGAGCCCGGACCCGTCTCCACTGAACCGGGGGAGTAACTACAGCTGGAGACAGAAATAGCAGGCTACTCTGCACAGGAGACAATCCAGCGGCGCGGGACATGCAGGATGCTGCAGCACCCAGCTATGCTAGTGGCTGTGCAGAGAGAGAGACAGAAAAGCAGCAAGAAGAAATTCCTGGGGGCAGTGACATGGGTCTGCACAGCCTGCAGGATGAGGCTCAGAAGCCCCAGCAGGGCCACCTGACTGCTAGGTGCTGATAGGTCCTAAACTGGGGCCACAAGGGCAAATTCAGCTCCCCACCCAGCTAGCACAGAAGGGGACCTGCACAGCAGGGTTGGCAGGGTGTCACAAGTTCAGCAAGATGGCTTATTTCTTGGTTCTGCTGGAAAAAGATGACTGTGGGGGCAGAGCAGGGCAGCCACTGCAGCTCACTGGGGTCCCAGGCTAGGCCCTACCAGAAAGCTCACTGCCTCCCACTTGGCACTGGCACTCACCTGCCCAGGCAGCAGCCTCTATCCTTCCAGAGGTCCAGCTCCCCCTGGCAGAGGGGAGCCACTCACTCTCTGCCCCACTCTGCTCTGACTGCAGCTCTGCTTCACCAGCAAGCACCACTTAGTGCCACAGCCCTGCCAATGAGTGCAAGGGGCACCAACTAAGGGAGGGATCATTGCTGCAGCAGCCAGCAAGGAAATGATGGGGCAGGCAGCCAACAGGTGTGAGCCATGACAGCTGGTATGCACAGCGGCAGGTACACACATTTCAAGGGATTTGGGAGCCTGCCATTGCATGCAGGAATTCATGGTGCCGGCACTGTCTGGAGCCCCCCTGCATACCTAGAGGAGCGGAGATGCCTGACCAGGTCTCTGCTCTGAAGGATCACAAGGACCAGGCATGTGCTGGTCATGCCCCCCTGCTGTGAACCAGAGGAAATCCTCTGTGGGGTCAGCAAAGCCATCCTGAGTATATCAGCTGGTTTGCTGCAACAGGGTTTGACACGGTCTTTGTTAACAGGCTCCAGGCTGGGCTGCCATGAGCCTAGAAGAAAGGGCGTTCTTGCTTCAGAACCATCTTGGCTCTAAAGCCAGGATCCAGGGCCTGGCTACACTATGGAATCAGGGCCATGACAGGTCTATAAAATACTGACATATGCAATCAAGATCCAGACATCACTGGCCCAGGTGTGCTAAGTGTGTATGTCAGAGCAGTGTTTGGTCCTCACAGGAAAACCCTCTGGGCTGGACTTACTCCACAGAGGGGCAGCATGGACAGGGGCTTCCCGAGACCACTGCCAGCAGCTCTATGCCCTTCCCCTTTACTGGACAAGGCAGTCTAGGCCATGCACTGGGCTTTGCAATAGATGCAACAACACTCTGTTACATCTGTCTTTATTAGGCATCCATATACCTCAGTTCTGACCTGACTCCAGAGATTAGCTCCAGCAACTGCTCGTGCGTGGCACCATTGGGCAGCTGCACACCTTGGGGCCAGCACTGCCCTGGGATCCTTTCCCTAACGAGTCAGGTAGCATTAGACCTTGAAGCATCCTCCCTACAGACTGCTGGGACTTTCCACTCCCCAGGGACACTTCCAGGCCTTCCATCCTGGGCACAGCCTGGCTGGTCTGCCTGTCGGACAGACCATGTCTGGGCCTGGCCCATCCCTTGCAGGCTCATGCCGTACTCCCAGCTGTGCCCCTCAGCAAGTGCTCAGCACCGGCAGATGTGGTGCCTGCAGTGTGCCTCATTCTCAAAGAAAGCACGTGCCATCCCCCCAACCCCCACAGCCTAAACAGTCATGATGCCAGCCCTTTGATCCACAATTTCCAGCCTTTTCAATTGGGGCTGCTTTTTTCTCATTCAAATGCAGCTACAATTTGTAGGGCGGGGTGGTGGGAGGATATAATTTTGGCTTCTTTTAATGTAATGTGGCAACCAACACTTTTGCAGTTGCCATGGCAGTGCACAGGCGCCGCACATAAACAGCAGTACCCAGGATGCAATGAAGCAGCTACACTGGGAGGCGGACGGGGTCCCTCACACCCAGTCTCCATTACTAAATAATCCTGGAAATGGCAAGGGAGCAGCAGCACATGCAGACAAATCCATGTGCAACCCACACCCCTGCAAAAGTACACCAAAAAATACACATGCACCATTGAAACAAAGCTTGCAGACAGCAACACACCTCCACAAGGAAACACAAAGAGATGCACAAGCAGCCAGCACAAGGCACACGGAGAGGAACACCCAGCCAGCCACTACACACGTGGAGAGATGCATGCATTGCTCCCTTACCAAATCTGCAGAGTGATTCTCACACTGCTGGCACCCAAAACATCCTCTGCACCAAAGAACCCACGGACTGCATTGCTCTCTATGTGACAGTGTCCCATTGAAAGCTGATGTTCAGCTCATATTTCCACCGCGGCCTGTAAATCCCATGCTGACTCACTGCTTTTCCCTCTGCCTTCCCACAGGTCTTACAAGCAGGAGTAAGATCTGTGGGTCCTAGGTGGTGCCCTGAGTTTGGCTGCACTGAAATGGCTGCTGCTGAGTTTAGCCCAGGCTGCCAGGCAATCCAAAGCTCTTTGGAGGCTGAAATGTCCTTGTCATTAGTTCCCATTCATTGATTTTTGTCTCATTTGCAAGATTTCCCAGCTCTGATTTTCTGCTCCCTCCCAGACCGCTGACAAAGATATTGGCAAGCTGGCGTTTCATTTTCATCAGTCCCGCTAGTTAACTCACCAAAAAACTGACTTGACACCCTGTGCTGGAATTTAGCAGTGGGAGTTACAGCCCGGGCAGGACTCCAGGCTGTTGCCTGAACTGCTAAAATCCAGCTTAAAGATATGAAGCCACGGTCTGACCAGGCTGGGCGGTAAGGTGAGATACTGCCATGTGCTAAGAGCCTGGTGGAGGCGCAGCAGTGGCCTTTAACAGGTGTGCAACTGGGTGAGGTAAAACCCAGTTCAACCAGGGTTTAAAACAAAGCTGGACTGGCCTCCCAGGGTCTGGTCTGTAACAGTCTAAGAAGGATAGTGCAGAATCCAGTCCCCTGAGCCCTCCCTGCTGTGGACCGGGAGCACCAAGCTCCCCTGAGCCACCTGGGGTCTACCTTAAACCCTTTCGGATAAGGGGGAAGGTGTGCAAGAAACAGGAACGCTTCAGAGGGAAACTGTGGGTACCAGCAGCTGTGTGCATCTATTACAGCCCTGTCAGCCCTCCATAAATACGGTTTAATAATTAACTAGTAATTAAATCCCATGCACTAAGTGTCTGAATAAATCTTAATTATGGCCCATGCATATATAAGGACCTTAATCAACAGCGCTGCTAGGCAGAAAGGGGTCTGATTCAACCCTGCCCTGTAGACCACTGCCGTGGGAGGTGAGATCTGTCACCTGGATGCCTGCTGAGAAAAGCGATAAACAGTGATAAAAAAGCTGGGATTAAGGAGCCTCAGCAGAGCTGTGTGTGTGTGCAGGGGGTCCAGGCCTGGGACAGGAGGGTCAGGGGCTAGGAGAGAAAGGGTTAGCAAAGCTGTGTGTAAGTGTGACGGTGGGTCCCTGGGCTGCAGGTCAGGGCTAAGGGGCATTGTCTGAGTGGGATGTGGGGAGCCTTGGCCTGGAGTAGCTGAGGGCTGTGGGGCAGGACTAAGGGGAAGCAGCAGAGCTGGGCGAAGGTGCTTGCATGGCACTTTACAGTATGCGGCCAGATGCACAGAGAAGCACTTCCAGAGGTGAGGGGATGGGAGGCTGCCAGGAGCTGAAGCCATTCCCTGGGGCTGGTGGACAGGATGGTAAAGCCATTAGGAAGGGCAGAGGCCTGAGCCAGCCTGCTCCTGGCACCTCTGGCTGCCAATCGCCTCCCCACCTTGGACAGCCCTGGCCCAGCTGCTCTCCGCATCATGCCACAAGATGGCGCTGGCAGACCTCGCCCGGTATTGCTGCAAGGCCCCCACGGAGCTGCGGAGCAGAACAGCGGTGTCCAGTCT